GTTGTGATGGTGTCCCGGTCATGTTGTGATGGTGTCCCGGTCATGTTTTGATGGTGTCCCGGTCGTGTTGTGACGTTGTCCCGGTCATGTTTTGATGGTGCCCCGATCATGTGATGGTGGCGCGGTCATGTTGTGATGGTGTCCCGATCATGTTTTGATTGTGTCCCAGTCATGTTGTGACGGTGTTGATGGTGCCCTGGTCATTTTGTGATGGTGTCCAGGTTATGTGATGATGGTGTCCAAGGAAGAGATGGTCGATGTGTTGAAAACAGCAGTTGTTTCCAGATTTTTCTTTTTGTCCTGGTTTGTATCTTGCTATTGGGGTCTTCAGCTGGGCTAATTTTCCTTTTCGGGCAAGCGTTGGATGAATGACCGGATTGGATTTCGGCGGCGTGGCAGCGATCTCTCTGTTCAATTGGGACGGAGGGCATACATCCTTCGGTCCTCATGCTTTTATTTCTTGTCCGCACGTGGTCAGCTCCCCGCTGATTGAGCAGCATGACCAGCATCATGTTCGCACTTGAAGAATATTTCCCCAAAAGGTTTGCTGTTGGGGCTTGTCAATTCTTTCTTAAGATGTGTCCGTCCGCTCTGTACGCAATCCTTTGTCTCCCAGCTCTGGACGTCGCAAGCTCTAGTTTCGATTTGAAAAGCACAAACTGTTTGGGGTCTACGGGGGTGTAATACTACTCACTGGGCCGTGCAAGAAGTTGAGGCAGATTGCAACACACTTTTTGCGCTTATCATTGTCCCGTCACAACGGTTTGACAATTCAATCCACATGCAAATTTGCAAGGGCAATGCGCGGTTACTTTTGTCAAGATAAAACGCCGGGGGCATTTGCCATGTTCTGCGTCTAATGGTTTCATCATGCGCTTCTGACCATCCTTCAAAGAAACGGAGGCAATCAAGCGAACAGGATTGTGTTGCAACATTCAGGCAATCGCCTTGCAGTTTCTTGAATCCATTCAGGACACTGTGGCTGTTAAGCACCCAGACATCGATGAGCTTGTGAAGGTGCAACATGTTGAAGGTGAAGGAAAGAAAATGCCACCGTCTATTTTTTTGTTAAATCTGTTTCATATCTTAGTTGCTGAAAATCCATTGAATGCGGCCAGGCTATGTCTGGCATGAGAACCAGGCCAGGGTATATATATGTATGTATTATGTATATATTTATATATGTGAACATATGTTGCGAGCAAACACATATTCAGTCCAACTGTTGGCCGTTCAACAATGTCGTTCATGCAGGACTTCTGCTTGCCGCAGACTACGTGACATCGCGGATTTGGAAAGTCAACGGGATTTCGTTGTGACTGCGGGTGAACCTTGGCACGGTGGAACATCACCCTGGTAGTCTAGTCGACCTGAAATCGGAGCGTGTGAGACTTCAGGCCCCTGCAGCAGCCTTGCGTTTGCTGGGTGGTCCAAAGGCTGCTTCTTCGGCTGCGGCGCAATTGCTCGAGACTCTTGTTACTTCGGCCGAGGTTCGAGACTTGGCGAGTGGTCAACACTTGGTGTTTGCAGATGTGATAGTGCCAACAGGATTCGGTGCAAGAAGGATTCTGGGGTTTCTGGTAGGATAAACCTGTCAAAGTCCCAAAGGAACAGGATCTGAAAGGGTGGAACCAAAACCATAAACAAATTTGCCCCTGGCTCCGTAGGGAATGTTTGAACCGAATCGAATCGCGTGACTTTCCGGACCTGCGCTTTTGCATAATGATGACCAATGTTTTTGTTTGTTTGATGGTGTTTTGCTGCATACTGTCCCTGCCCCACCAAAGACCAAAAGGGTCCTTCACTACCTCAGCAACCCTGAACGAGGGGTTGTCTCAGTGCTTCGCCGCTAAAGAGCTGAACTGGTGGTTTTAAAGAGAAAAGGAAGATGAGAAGCAGAGAAGGCAGAAGTCGGGGACAGATTGGGCTCTTCGCTTGTTACATGCTGAATGTAAAGTCTTGACCACCAGAGGAAACACGCAAGGTGTTTGAACCCTTTGAGCTTGGTCCAAAACCCAACATTGTTGGCAGAAAAAATATTGAACTCAATACAGCGACAGTGACCACCTGATGTCACACTAGTGACTAGTGTCCCCGTTTTCCCCAAAGGATTGTGCAGGGAGCGCAGCAAAGTCACACAGCGGCAGTACGCACATACATAAAAACACAAAGAAACAACACATTTCTTTCACATTTTCTTTCAGTGACTGACACACATGTGAAGGCCACACAGCACTGGCTGAACCCCAAAAGCCAGCGGACTTTGGCACTATCAACAATCAAAAACAGAGACAGAGAGAGAGAGAGTTTTTGCTTTTCTTTTTCAACAAACAAATCCAGAAACCAAACGAATAGTGCGAGCGTGAGCTATCCTGCGTCCATTAGCCAGTAGCGGATCCTTAGCTCTTACTTAATTAAGAAAATAAAGTAGATAAAGTAGGCGCCTACTAAATTAAGGGTGAGGGCAAGGCGGCAGGCAAAAACAACAGTAGAAAAGCAATCTTTGCACTTTAGCAACTTTCCACTGGAGGGGAGCTTTCCGAAGACCCTCAGGAAGAACATGCAGCGCCTTCGGTGGCATCTCCAAACTGTTGGCAGAGGCGACATGAGTAACATTCCGAAAGTGGCATTTGAGATTCGGAGGCCATCACTACTAGCTTGGAGACCATCGCTACTAGCTTGGAGGCCATCGCTACTAGCTTGGAGGCCATCGCTGCTAGCCTGCTAGGTTGGAAGCCATTGCTTTTAGGTTGGAGGCCATCGCTTTGGAGGGCATCGCTATTAGATTCGAGGCCATCGCTATTAGCTTGGAAGCCATCGCGGAGGCCATCGCCATCGCTATTAGATTCGGAGGCCATCGCTATTAGCTTGGAAGCCATCGCGGAGGCCATCGCCATCGCTATTAGATTCGGAGGCCATCGCTACTAGCTTGGAGACCATCACTAGTTTGGAGGCCATCGCTACTGCCATCGCCAGTAGGTTGGAGGCCATCGCTGCTAGCCTGCTAGGTTGGAAGCTAGGTTCGAGGCCATCGCTTTGGAGGGCATCGCTATTAGATTCGAGGCCATGGAAGCCTTCGCTCCTGGACCAGCGATTTGACTACCAAAAAAAGCTTATAGCAGATTTGGGCGTTTATAGTAGGAGCCAGCCATTCTACTGTAAATGTACCTGGAATGCACCTGGGTTTTTTTAAGGGGTGTCATGGATTGTTTTGAGCGATGTTTGGTTTTGTTTTCTTCTTTTAGCTTTTGCTGTTGTGAAGCTTTTGACTTGTTTTCAATGAGCTTTTGCGGTGTTCTTGAACATGCATGCTTGCCACGCACGAAGCTGTTGTTTTGCCATGCATGTGCAGTTGTTGCATACCCGCAGCCATTTTCAATATTTTTCAAGGCTTTTGCTTGCCGGCCGTGTGTGGCCACTCCTCAAAGCACAGGCGAGCTTGCCAGTCATAGTTCTGGTGGAAAGCAAGGTACTTCGTGCAGTGCCAAAAATGATTTTTTGGTGTTTTGGCTCACGCAAGCTGCCCTGCATTTGGACACCGAAATGGAGGACTGTGTTTCCAATGTGTGTCCTCCCATAGGTGCTAGCTCAAAGGTGTGGCCGCTAGTCCAATAGTTCTTTGTGAATAGATGTTTTTTTGGTGCAGGCGATCACACGCCCAAGGCTTCGTGACTGAGCAAGATGGACTGAAATCAGAGGCTGAAGCTGGGTCAGTTGAGAGACTGCATACGCCCGCGCACTTAGTGTATGCAGGCTTCAGATCCTGTTAGCCTTGACCGTATTCGTGGACGATTGGAAGCAGTTGCGCTTGAGAGGCTGCTTCTTCTTTTTGAAATGTTATGGCTGCATATTCTTTTTGGCAGGTTGGTTGGCCTTCAGTTCGCCCTATTGGTGGGGCAAGAAGGCCACCGCCGCCACCTTTGCACCGCTCACTTCCAACATGGAGACCACCTCCGCCGCCAGCTCCTGTAGTTGCGAATTCCAGAGCCCGCCCACACCGCCAGCTCCACTGCTGTTGAGCAATGCACCACAGGTAGTGCCAGCAGTTCCCATAGGCTGGCCTTCCAGGAAGCGTGCAGCAGAAAGCTTCCAATCTACCACGATGCAGTGGTGGAGATGAGCAAATTTTTGACCCACGAACACTTACCCAAGGATTTGCCATTCACAGATTCCAGGAATGAGCTGAGCAATAGCTCAGAACCTTTTTTCTCACCCTTCACTGGCGCGGAGCCTGACAGAGGTCTGTGAGTTGGCACTTCTATATAGGGGTCAGCCTGGGAACTGTCTCTGTGTGGCAGGCAGATGGTATGTGGATTCTCCAGATGGCATCCGGCTCATTCAGCCAAAGAAGATGCCCCGCCAACGCTGAAAAAGTTTGTCATGCATACGGTTTGGCATTCACGCATGAGCTTTGAGTTTGCTAGGTTTGAATTTTACTGTACGTTTTCTTGTTTTCTCTCTGTGCATGGCTTGCCCAGGTTTCATTTCATGGCTAGGACAGATCTGGAAATGCATCAGTGCGATTGAGTTAGAAGTCTGCTTTGCATGTCTCCGTGGACCAGATGGAGACCTTAGATGTCAACGGCGGGTCGCAGTGCCCCAATTGAGGAGAGTGTGAGTCAGCTTCAATGGGTCTGAGTTGGGTTGTGGCTCATTTGCACTCGTGTTAAGCGTGAATGTTTTTTGCAGGCATTTGGGTTTGAAAGACCTTGCCGACATGTCCGCCAAGATCAAAGCAGGAAGGCTTAAGCAGGTCAATCGGTGTACACTGTGCAAGCCAGGCATTTGGGCTTTTCTTGTGTATATGATTTTGCTGGCCGCCAGGCTGGCTTTTCGCTTGTGAAAGAGCAGAAGGGGGCCTGTGAAATGAAAGATGTGCCTTCTCTTCAGGGTGTTCAGGTTCAGGTGTGCAAAAACTTGTAGTGTGTTTGCGTTCGCCAGGTCGTTGTTGGGGCTTTGCTTGCCCAGCCCAACCTGGACAAGCGCATTAGTGAAGAGGTTCTCGCCAAAGCAACCTTACAATTTCATTTGAAATACCACAAGTTGCCGACTGTCGCCCAAAGTGTTGAGTGCCAAGATGGCTTTTGGCTTGGCCGCCTGCGCTTCAAGATTCAAGCGCCTACTCTGGGCAAGTGAAGGTGGCAAGAGCCAGAAAATCAAGTGAATGAAAACCAAAATTTGGGAAGTGAGTGAGACACTCAAGGAGGAAGCAATTCCAAACACGAATAGTCATGATGCAAAGCAAGTGGATGGAACTGACTGTTTCGAAAAGACAGGATTTGATTGGAAGGCTTTGGAGCAAAGGCTCCAAATTGCGATGCAGGTCCAGTCGCTGAAAAAAACAATCTATGGAAAACCTTGAAGAGAAACAATCCTTCCAGTCAAATGCCTCCACTGCTGCTTCCTCGACTCCTTCGCCGGAGCCACCTTCTCCTGAGCCCGCCAAGTATGTGCTTCCTGAATTTGCCCAAGCCCCAGAATGTTTGCAGATCATGCCTTCTCAGCCATTTGTTTGGGTGGATGTTATGACGTTTTTGAGGTGGCAAAGGCTTTGGAGCGAACAAGCTTTCCTGAGCCGGTCAATGTTGACCCGACTGCGGTTGAGGATGACCTCATGGAGGTTGAGTGTGAGCAGCAGCCGGTCAAGAAAGAGAAAGCAGAGAAACCAAAAAAAACAAAAAACAAGAAATGCCCAAAGCAGCCTGCAGACAGTGAGATGGTGACCCCAGCAGATGGTCAGGGGTTCTACCAACCCGGCACGTTTCCGGGCTGGTAAGTCAGGGATTTCAATACAAAGATCCGACCGCTGGATGTTGTCTTCTGAAAGGGCTGATTTCTTGGCAACTTCGAGCCCTCCTAACTCAAGAAGAGAAGGTTTGTGCGAGGTCTTTTGGGTTCACTCTTTGGGGTGGGGTTCACCGCAGGGATAACTCTTGGCAGCCAAATTTTTGCTGTAGCTGGTGCGAGCGGTGAAGGGCATAAAACAAGGTTCCTGCCAATTGTTCTCCAGTTTCAATTTTGCATTTACAGTTCAATGGCTTGGCATGCGTGAGTTTGCCATTCACCCATTGGGCAGTTGTTTTATTGCTTTTTGGTCGTGGCTCAGCTTTTGGGGTTTCAATTGAATTGCCTTGTCTGATCATGGCCTTGAGATGCTTCGCTGGAGAGTGCCGCTACCACTGGTTTTGGTGACACTACTGCTGACCCACAATGTTCACTTTGCAAGGGATCAGGACAGCAATGTGCCTTGGAAATGTCGGGACAGGGACTTTGTAGAAATCTGTGCAGGCTTTCCGGTTGCATGTTGAAAATTTGACAGGCTGGCTTTGAGGAGACTAAGCTTGACCGCGACCACGACCTCAAAGGGAAAACCTTTGACATCGCTGGCGCCAGTGGGTTTTTGTTGGGGTTGCAAGCTTTTGTGTTTTTTTGAGTTTGTCCTTGGCCTCTAGACCTGGGCTGAGGCTTGCAGTGAGCGAAGTCCTGAGGATCAAGTGTGGTGGGTTGCTTATCCTAGCGCTTCCCTGTTGCACCTTTTGCCGGCCGTCTGGTGCTTAGGTACTGTCTTTGTGTTCAAGTAGGCGCTTTGAAACTTGCTGGGCCCAGGTGTTCTGGCGCACGTCAGCGCTCGATCATTTACCCTGAAGGCAATCATGGATACAAATTCATTGCGACAGGAAACTTGCTTGGCATCAGAACAGTGTTGCTGGCCCTTCTTGCAGCCAGCAGGGGTGTGAGGTTCATGATAGAGCAACCGAAAGGGTCTGCCTTTGAGTTCTTGCCAAGCTTTGTGGAGCTATGCAAGCTGGTTCAGGCAGGGTGGCCACTCAGTATGGGTTGCATTTCAGCTCTTTCGCTGGCAAGTCTACTCCATTGGTATGTGGCATGGCCTGTACCACTTCTTCAAGACAACGCCAAAACGGCAAAAATTGTGGAGCAATGATCCTGAGTTGTTGAAGCGGATAACTGCCTGTGCTGGTGCACTCCCTTCAGGTTCCATGCTGTCTTCCTTTCAAGGTGTGCCTCTTACGAAGCGGCGTCGGCAAAGTAGTGTGGACAGGCACAAAGGAGCTCACAGCTTCACAGTGCTTTGCTTGGACTCAGAGCTGTGTCGTGAAAGGACCTGTGAAGTACTTTGTTGAAACTAAAAGAAACATTGTGATTGACCACCCCCCCGGGCGTACGCAGAGTGCTTCGTGGGAGGCCATGTTTTTGATTCTTTTGTTCCTGTTTCTGATGCGTTAGAGGCCACCAATGTTGTCCATGTATATGAGGCCATGCCACAACTACCAGTGGCTCCAGCAGATGTAGATGCTTCAAGATCTGATTTTGAAATGCTTATAAGACCACATATTGCAAGTGTTGATCCTATTGTTGTATTGTTGAATTGGCCTGCAGATCGCTGATCCAGGATTTGGTTCTTGCAGGTGGCAATCAATTCGACAGCTGGTGCCAGAAAGCCTGTCCTTTGGCATTCACGGTTGGCATTCATGGTTGGCGTTCACGGTGTGCATTCATTCTTGCTTTTGTATCTGAGGCGTGTACTTCTTTTGTGTTTTTGTGATTTGTCGGCCTGGCAGGCATATATTAGATATTTGAT